TATGGGATCAAATCTTCCTTTGTGGGAACAACTCCTGTATAGCCTGACTTGAATATCCACAGAATTGGGGGTGATGTATTTTGTATGATAACCCTCTTGGGGTAGTGCAGAAATCTTTAACTCTTACTTAATAGAATAACCCTTTCTTTTTTAATGAACTCTTTATACAACAGATAAATTGATGCTTCTCGGAGAGGGTGAGGCTTAGCTAGGAGGGTAGAACACAGACTGTGGTTTACCATCCTTGTCCACCTGCCCTCCTCAACCTTAGGTCTGCATTTGAGACCTATCTATGAAACTTGCTAACTTAGGACTTGGGAAAACATTCCCCAAGTCTTGATCTTGGGTTCCTCATCTGTGGGGATTCATTCATTCATTCAACCACGCTCTTAACCCCAGATATGTGCCAAGCACTACGCTGGGAATACTGTAATGCACAAAATGGACATTGGGGTGATAGGGCTCACTCAGGTGAGGGAGACACAGTCATGAAAACTAAGCCTATGACAAAATGAGTGAAGGAGAGTTTTGCTGTCCTGAGAGAGGTGTGGTGTGGCAAGGGTGGGTGTGGAGGCAGACCTTGAGTGGTAAGGAACAGAGTCTCTCTCATAACAGTATAAACAAGGGGCAATGATACTATACCTTTTAACCTTACAGGTATTGATTGTGTAGCTAAGTGAGATAATTTGAGAGCTCTTTGGCTTCAGACACATGTAAAAACTGCTTCTCAAAAGTCACTTTCCAAAGATAGTAGCCCCTTTTCTTACACAATCTAATGGGAACTGACCCTCACGAAATCCTAAACTTATCCTTTATAGCCTTAATTGTAGTTATTAGTTAATTTTATATTTAGTATCTGTTTTCTCTCTAAAGCTATAAGGATGGGGATTGTATCTGTCTTCATCTATCTAACCCCAGCCCTGACTATAACTGAGTAGATGCTCGATAAATATTTACTGAATGAATCAATAAAGTGATTAGACAGGACACTGAGATCTAATATGTGGTTTGGAAAATTATAGTATTCTGCAGATTTGGGAAATGTCTCATTTGGGGATTTAGAGGCCACTGAATCAACCTTATCTTATGCATGAGAAATAAAGACCCAGAGAGGGGAGGCAACCGGGCCAAGCCACACACTGGGTCACTGGCTCACTGTGTTATTGTTCTCTTAGTTCGTGGTTGTTTTCTTCATAGCTATGGCTGTTTTATCTGAAGTGAGATAAGCTCTTAGGATTGTCTCTTAAAGTATAAGTCTGTGCCTCTGTATAAGGACTCAGGTAAGCAGAGTAGCCACCCTTGGAAATCCCTCTCTCCTGGCCTGTGTCAGTGCCTGGCACCCTGCCATTAGGGAAGCATCACATTGCATTCAGTTTTGTCCTCTACAACTGCCTGTTTGAGAAGGCATGTGTGATTGGGAGAGGTAGCCAAAACCCCATTTGGTAAAACATGTATCTAAGTGATCTGCTGCTTGGAATGTGAAATTAATATGAACATGAATGTTTGTTTAAAGAATGCTAGCACTGTAAAGAGAGCTATATACAGAAGGGATAGTTAACTGATGGATAGAGAGGAGGTGTAGGGTATGTGAACTCAGTTGGATGCAGAGAGGATGCCACACAGACACAAAGAACCAAAGGGAAATGTTTGTAGAAATTAAGCATTGGCAAGCAACATGAGTTGCTGCAAGTTGCAGGCACTGCACTTCATGGAGGAAAAGGATGGCATAGATGAACCAGAGGCAGCTCGGTCAGTTTATTGTTGCACTCCCCAAATTGTTATTGAATGCTCCCAGGTGCCCAAGCCCTGTGCCAATGCTTGGAGTCTGGGCAGAGCAGAGAGAGATGGCAGTCCCTCCTCTCATGGTGCTTGTAAAGTGGATGGAGAGACAGCTATTAAGCAAGTAATCATGGTAAAAAAATGTATATATAAACTACGATAATTGTGCCAAAGGAATGGAACGTGATCCTGTGAGAACAAGTAATATGGAAACTCCCCAAGACTGTGTGCAATGGGGAAAGTGGAGGGGTAGGGGTGTGTGTGTGTGTGTATAGGGAGTGAGCAGCCTTTCCTGAGAAAATAACGTGAGCTAAAACCTAAAGGGTGAGCTGAAGCAACTAGATAGATGAAGGCATGAGGAAAAGCGAGAGTTCCACGTAGAGGGAACAGCATGTTAAAAAGCCATGAGTCAGAAGGAAGCAGGTAGCAGGAAACGGAGGAAAGTAAGGGAGCCAGGGGGTTAATTTCTGCAACACAAGGCTTGGGAGGGCAAGTAGGGATACAGACCTTGCTGATCCTAGAGGCTCAGTGCTACTGCTACTCAGAGTGGTCTTTGTATGGGGGCTGCACTTCAACGGTGAGTTATAGATCTGTGGGGAGCTAGGCACAGAATGGAGAGTAAGCTTTTAGTGAAACTTGACAGAACAACTTTGTCTGCTGAAGCTAGTATTTTGCATGTCTTTTTAATTCATTTTCAAGAAATTCATTGTTATTTTACAATTTTTCAATTGTTTTCAATGGATTAGAGTCAAGGAAACCTGGTCGTTTACTCTAGAATTTGGTCTTTATTTGGAAGCTGTGGAATGATTTTGAATAGGGGCATGACAAAGTCATATGCTCAGTTTTGCAAGACTGTTGTGGGCATAGCAGAAGGCCAGGAGGCAGCAAGGGGGCTAATCCAGGGAGCCTGGAGAGAGGAGGCTGCAGCTTAGGCCAGGGAGGTGGCTGAGAAGATGGAGAAACACAGATGGATTTAAGATTGGGCAGGACTGGAGACTAAGGCCTGAACTTCTTTGGCAGGAATTTTTGTCAAGGCAGACAAAAGAGAACAGGAAAGAGGACTTCATTTGGTGAGAGCCTGGTGGGTTGGTCGTAGAAAGTTTTATTGCTGGCAGTACAGAAGGTCCTACATTTCCCAGAAAGAAAAGTTCTCATTCCCTCAAAGAGCAAGAGAGCTGGGAGCACTTGTCTGGGTGGAGTCAGAAACAGGGAGCCACCCATGGCCCATCCACAAGTGCTGGGTGCTGGGCCAGAGAAGGGCACTGGGGAAGTTTGACCCTTGAAAGTGTTGGCTAGCTCTCTATATGTTGGCTAGCTCTCTTATATATGAACCTGCAGGTTCATATATAATGTGGTTAGTGCTTTCTGGGGCATGTGGAAGAGCGAAGAGCTCAGTAGACTGAGTTGCCATGGTAGGGGAAGACCATGTCCCAAAAAATAGGTTACTTTGTGTGAAGGGAGAATTCTACTCCAGTCTTTGCCAACAAAGCATCACCATTTTGACCTTTGTTTTTGATCCCAGGTGCGGTCTAGCAGTAGCCTAACCAGATGTCAGGGATAGTTTGGCAGAGGAGAGACAGACATGGTGGGGTGCACCTGAGTGAGCTGTTACTGGTGTTATCTGGGCTCCTAAAGGGCTCTAGAAGACTGGCTTCTTTTAAATATTTCTCAGTTAAGTACTAGTCCTTTTGTGGATTCTGCTGCATTTGGGATATTTCATTTATCAGCCACATTGCTGCAATAAATCAAATTTGCTCTGGTCATACTCTTTACATAGTGGCAGTTGGAAAATGGATTCAGGTCTTTGTCAATTTAATCTCAGATCTGTTTTGCTGAAGGCGAAGCTAAGAGGGTGACAGAATCACAGGCCATTGTCACAATAGAAGGATGCTGGTCCTATCTGGTAGAAGTTGGAAGCAGTGGTTAGGTGGAAGGCATGACCCTCTGTCCACACTTCTCCTATTCACAATGCCTTTTACTCCTGTCAGGGCATGCAAATTTAATATGATAGAATTATATACTATCAGAGCATAAAGATATCTTAATAATTATCTATAACTTAGAAATGGCAAAAATAAGGCATCCTTGCCATTACTTTCTTTTCTCTTTCAGGCAGATGTCAAGAATCGATCCCCGTATTTTATGTAGCCTCAGAATCCTTCTCAACACACTGCTCCAAGCAGACACTACTGATCAGCTAGAGTTAGTATGTAGTCTAAGGAGACTTATATTAGTTTCCTTGGACTGCTTTAATAAAGTACCACAAACTGAATGGCTTAAAGCAACAAACCTTTTTCCTTTCACAGTGCTGGCAACTAGAAGAAAAAAATTGAGGTGTCAGCAGGGCCATGCCCTCTCCAAAAGGTCTAGGAAAGAATTCTTTCTTGCCTCTGAGTTTCTGGTGGTTGACATCAACCCTTGGTGTTCCTTGGCTTGTAGGTGCATCACTCCAGGCTCTGCCTCTGTCTTCATGTGGCCTCTTTCCCTATTTGTCTGTGCCCAAATTTGCTTCATTTTATTAGGATTCCAGTCACAGGATTAGAATCCACCCTAGTTCAATTGAATAGAGTCTCAAACATGCAGAAAATTTGTAAAGTCATACATGAAAATGATAATCTACATTTAGGATGCTGATGAACTCCGGGGAAGAAAAAGAGGGATTGAAATTGAGAAGACGTCCCCAGAGTGATTTGAATCTATTTGTAATCCATTACTGTGCCCAGCTTCCCACAGACCTGTAATTCACAGTAGGAGTGCAGCCCCACACACAGACCACTCTGAGTAGCACCAGGCCTCTAGGATCAGCAAGGTCTGCATCCCCGCTTGTCCTCCCAAGCCTTGTGTTGCAGAAATCCACCCTAGTTTACCCTCATCTTAACTTGATTACATTTGCACATTTATCTCAGGTGAACAGAAATTTTGGGGGGTATACTATTCAACCCAGTGTCAGACCTACAGCTATCCAGATCCCATTCTAAATTCCTATTTTGCAGATGAGAAATTTGAGGTTTAGAGAGAAAAAGGAATTTGCTGAAAATTACATGATTATTAACAATAGGTGCAAGATAGGACTTAGAATTCCAGACTGCCAGTCCAGTGTTTTTCTGGTCTATCTCTGAATGAAGCATTAAAATAGACAGCTCCTCTTTCCCAGGAAAGACTTAAATAATATAGTTTGATTATTTAAGTTTGGTTTCTTTCTGTGAATTTCTACCCTCAAGAGTAACCCAGCTGAGCAAGAAAAGTGATGATTCTTGCTTTCAAGTTATGATGCATTCCATGAGACTGAATCTGAAAAGAGATTGTGGTAAAGTGAAGTCCTGACCTGCCATGTGCTGAGTGTTCCTAGCCTGGTTCCAAGCACCACTCTGGATGTACAGGGATAGATGCTCAACAGGTATTTGGTGAATTTGATGTGCAACACATGTTTGGTAAATAAAATTTTCATATATCATTTGCTTTTGCCTGTTTTGACACTGAAGAAACTTTGGAAAAATAAAGCTGATTTGGGAAAGGTAGAGAGAACTGGAAGTGTCTCTAGACAGACTGTTAAAGATACAGACCAGAAAGAAATGGGAAGTGGCAAAACTGGGGACTGCCTTTTCCTATTGCATTCACATCATGCTCATTCTGACTCTAGTTTCCAGGGAAGGAGGGAAGAGAGCAAACATAGAATACCTTTGCAGTGTTTCTCGGCTTGCATTATGCCAGGCATTGGGCTGGGTGCTTTACAAACACCCTTGATGTAATTCTCTTAACTTAGGTAGATGCTATTATGCCTACTTTATAGGTTAGGGAAAAGTAATTCATTTGTCCAAAGTCACACAGCTAATAAATCTTGAGGCCTGGACTGAAAGCAAATCTTTTCCAAACCCATTTTATTTTTAAAATTTATACCTAACTGGATTGTGGGTATCACTTCTGTTTCAGGAGCAAGGCATGAGAAGCTCTATCTTTGCAAATAATTTACTTTGGATAAAGCTATTTCTTTTGTAGAAGCATGACATGTCATCTGAACTTTAAAAACTATTTTTGTGTGTCCCTTAGAAATTCTCGTGAGATTTCCATCATACAGCCTTTAGATAGTGTGATCGTCACAATTACATGGTGGACCCTTAGGACCCTTAGGTGACTTAAAAGAAAAGCTTTACTGAGGTATAATTTACTTATTATAAAATTCATCCACTTTAAGTATGAAATTCAATGATTATTATTATATTGCAGAATTATGCAACTGTCACCTAAGTTGAATTCCTTTGGTAACTTAGTTTGTACACCGAAACGGATCAATTATCCAAGAGGATAAGATAAATCATTGCAGATATAAGGAACGACATGAGTAAAGGTGTCAGGATGGGCACACAGAGATCATATGAAGAGGAATGGATAGTCCTATTTGGCTGGGTATAAAATGAGTAAAAAGATAGAAATAAATAATACCAGGGCAGGTTAATAACAATGAACAGATCATTTCCAGAGAGCTAGTTTGGTAGGAAGAAGGCACGGACTATTTGTTGTCCAAGGCAAAACTGGTGGAGAAAGAAAGGAGGGAGGGTTAGTGACAGTTCCTCTGCTTTTCTCTGTACTGTAGAGGGGACCCCGGTGGGGCCTCCAGGCCAGCTGGATGACAGCCAGTATGCCGAATGATGGATTTGCCAGATGAGTGAGTCATTAATTCCCTGAGGATATGTTATCTTGGCTTGCTCGTGGCTTTATCTGTGAATGAATGGGCTTTGTCTGACCAGAACTTTATTGTCTCTTAATTTTGTCACATATGGCCCATTCCTGCTGTTTATCTTCTGCCCCTTGTCTTCACCCTGTTTGTTCCCCTCTATCTCCTCCTGCCTCTGTCCTGGAGGTAAAATGGCAGTGGGCAATTCTCCTAGAGTGAATTTGGGTATTTGTCTGACAGTTTTATGTGAACAATCCTTTGCTGAATTGATTTTCACTGTACTAGCTTCTGCCTATCAGCTTTCGAGCCCAGACAGTTGGCTTTGATAGATACTTTGCCACTCCATGATTTCTGCATTGGCCTTTTGGTGCTTCCTTTTTTCCCTGCATATAAGGACAAAGGCCACAGCCATCCTCAGCAGGTCACGAGCTTCAAGAAGGAAGAATTGTAATAGCAATTGTGAACTTCTTAGGCTTCCTCCAAAGGAAAGGGTGAGGTAAATGGAAGGCATTGTACAGTTATTATGTGATACCACATATATTAGTTTTTCTCTCCAAATCATTGCCTAGGGCTCTGTTTTGAAATTGGTTTTTACCCTCCTTGCTCTTATTGCAGCCTTCGATGCTCCCATTCCATATTTAACTTTTCTGCAATTCAGCACCTGCTCTGTTAGCACACTTCCCTTCCAGGCTTTTAGCGTGAGGCACCTGCATTTAGAACAGCCTAAGCTGTGGGGGATCAGGGTGCACTCACAGCCCAAACTTCTAGAACTTCCTCTCATTCCAAGGAGGGTGAGGGCCAAGGAACCTGGACCCCAGAAACACTGCTCCCCCTGCCTTATTTAGTGTAGTGATTGAGAGTATGAATTCTGGCTTGAGCCATAGCTCTGCCACTTACCTGCTGTGTGACCTCAGGCAATACCTTAAACTCTCTGTGCCTTAGTTCCCTTATGTGTAAAATGAAAGCCACAATAGCACCCACCTCATAGGGTTGTGAGAAAAACTAAATGAGTTAACCTACGTAAAGCACTCAGAGCAATGTCTGGCATATTATAAGTGCCATGAAAGTATTAGTAACGTTGATTTTCTTAGCTATTAATTCTTATTTCCTTTTAAGCATATTGGGATGGCGTCAGGAGGCCTGGATTGTGTTCCAGGCACAGTTGTTAAGTTGCCGTGTGACTCAGAGATGTCATTTCTCCAGAATTTGGCTTCCTCTTCAATTAAATGAGACTTACAGTCTCAGGCCCCTCCCTGCTCATTGCCCAGAGTTGCTCTGAGGATAAAATGACATAGCAGACATAAACAGGCTTTGTAAATATGAGAGAGCTGCCTGCAGAAATGGTGGTGAGATGTTCCATGTTCTGTGGAGGGATGACCTTGTGAAGGTATTTCTTGGAAGAGGTGGCTTGGTCTCAGGGAACAAGAGTCCTCCTTGGAAACAGTGAGATCCTGATTATTCTCAGCCCTTATTGGCTTAGCATTGTTTTGAGATGTCTTCTTTCTGGGGTCTCCTAGGAGAACAGTGGTGGTATTACCTCTCAGCATCAGCATTCTTAGTTGTAAACAACAGAAATCAGTGCTTGTTAATTTAAGCAGTAAAGTAGCAAAGGAGTTTATTAGATGGAGTTGGGTAGCTCACAGAGTGTCCTGGAGCACCAGAGAACCAGGAGGCTGTGGATCAGTGGCCAAAGTCACACAGCAGAACTGGTCCAGAAGGGACGCCATGGTAGCACTGCTGGGCACAGGCTCTGCAACTTATACTCACATAAGATAAGAGTGTTGTAGGGGGCACCCAAAACTGGAATTCATCATGGTCCAGCAATCTCTTAGCACAGCTACCCTCTGTGGGGAGGCTTGATTCTCCACCACCCCTGACTAGCTTTTCTTTTGGGTGGGAAACAGGACCACATAGAGCTTTGCATCTATCTCTTTTAAGTTCCACCACCAGAGGAAAGGACCACTTTCTTTTGGTTCCCATTCAAGGAAGGCAACCCAGAAGACAAAAGGATTGTCTCTGCTTGGCTGAGCTTTGGGCTATTGCCCATTCTTGGACCAATCAGTACAGAGCTTGGTGGTGAAATGTCAGGATTGGCCCAGCTTGCTGCCACCGGAAGTTTAGCGCCCTGGGTGGAAGGATGCCGTTGGAATGGTGCAGAGGAGGATAGATTTCTCAGAGGTGGGGATGGGAGATGGGAAGGGCTGATCTCGGTGGTACTTTCACCATCAGGCGCTACAGGGGGTTTTACAGACTGCCTTTTAGTGTTTGTTTGTTTACGCTATGCGTAACAAACGCATGGACCAGGCCTTCATAATTCCATGGTAGCATTATCTCCCTGTCTCCACAGGGCTGTTTGATCACATCTCTCCTTGTATAAAAAAACCTTCATTACTTTCAAACTAGAGTCCACACTCCTTATTATAAACACTAAAGATTTAACCCCTTTCTTTTTTAAAAATTTGTTTTTTAGTAATATATTTCAAGCATAAAGAATAATGACATGAGTACATATGTACCCCCAAAGTAGCTTTAACAGATTTAACATTTTGCTGTATTTGTTTAATGCTTTTTAAATAAACAGTAATGGATTACAAATAGATTCAAATCACTCTGGGGACCTCTTCTCAATTTCATTCCCTCTTTTTCTTCCTTGGAGTTCATCACCATCCTAAATGTAGGTTATCATTGTCATGTATGCCTTTATGAATTTTCTGCATGTTCAAGTCTCTACTCAATGCGTAGTATTGCTTTGCATGTTGGTAAACTTTATAGAAATACTGCCCTAGTCTACATATCCTTTTGCAGTCTCCCTTTTGCATTGAACATTATTTTTGAGATTTATTCACACTGGTATGTATAGATCTAGTATATATTCATTTTATCTGCTATATAGTGTTTTATTCATCTGTCTCTGATTGATGTGTTTCTCTTTTTCTTTTTTTCCACCATAAGCCCTGCTGCAGTGAGCATTCTTGTGTAAACCTTGGGGAGTATACCCAAGAGTGGAATCACATCAGGGGGAAGGACAGGCAAAACAAAGTCATAGCCCAACAACTTCCTCACCATGCAGAGCTAGCAGGTGATTAAGCCCAGGAAATCCCCGGCAGGGCCGATCAAACAGGATTTAGCGGCTTGTGAAATGGGACTTTATTTCTTTAGATAATCCCTTGTGGGGGAGGGGGAGGGAGATCTGAGATCTGACTTCAGCATGATCTGGAGGTAAGCGAGCCCAGACTACTTAAAATATTTGCTGATCACAGAGATGGGCCTTTTGAGTGACAAGAGAATGGTAGAGTGTACCTTCACTCCCCTTTCTCTCATGCCACAAATGGCATTTACTCTGCTTTGGAAAAATGCAGGGGTAAGAAAAGGCATAGAGTTTGGAGTCAGAGAGAGCCAAGTTTGTGTCTCTGTATCTGCCATTTACCAGTTATGTGACCATGTTAATTACTTATATACTCTGAACCTCAATTTTCTTACCAGTGAAATGAATCCCACTGATGTCCTCTGCTTTTAGCCTCAGTGTAGCCACTGCCCTGAGTTGTCTGGATTGGGCTGTAGCCAGAAACCTCAGGTCCACCATGCCATGGTTCCTTGAGTCAAGTCCTGTTGGCCGTAGAACTTCAGGTGAGCTCTGAACATTGATGTTTCCTCTTCACCCAGGATGTACTGCATCTGCAAAGCACTCTGACTGCCTGCTAGGGCCTGAGCCTGTCTTGGAACTCTCTATGCATGACTATAAACCCAGCTAATACTTACCAGGCCTCTTCTTGGTGGGACTTGACCCTAATTCTTATCTATTCCTTCCCTCTGGCCCTGATAGTGGATGTGGAATTTCCAAGAACTCATATTTGTATCATCATGACCCTCATATAGGCAGCTCCACTTGTGGAGCCCTTGCTGTAAACCTGATGGTGAGCTCAGCCCTCTACATGTGTTTACATTGAGGTTGTGTAGGAAGGGTTGAGAGCACACTTCACTTTTTGGAGCCAGATACATTCGGTTTCAAAATGTGAGCTTCCTTACCTTTTTTTTTTTTTTTTTAAGATAGTATGTTTCTGGATGACTAGATAAATTTTTTTATCTAGATAATAAAACTTTTCTCCTGGGGTTATCATAAATAGTAAAAATGTTTTTTTTGTAATGCTTTTAGTATAGTGTCCAGCTCACAGTCAGCACTCAATAAATTACAGGTCGACATGCTGTAATAGGTTGAAGGCTACATGTAGAAGTGAGATAGCCAGAGTGATGAAAGACATGGGCTCTGCAACCAGATGGCCTGAGTTTATATTCTGAACCCTCCACTTCTATGATACAGCCCTGGGCAGGTGATCGAACCTCTCTATGCTTCAGCTCATTCATCCCCCAAAGGAGGATAATCATACCAAACTCACAGGTCTTCGACTGTGAGAAACAGATGATGTGACCTGTATGAAGCAGTGGGAACAGTGCCTGGCACACAGGAAATGTTCAATGCATGTAAATAAATTCACTACATTTATTATTTTATTTTACCATTATTTTAAATATATGTGTATGCATAAATGTATAGGCATATATGCCATGAACTCAGGTTACAAGAAGATAACGTTATTTTCCTAAAACTGAATCTACTTTCCTTCCTGAAGTCTATTCCACCGGAAGGCAGAGCATGGATTCTCATTACTGCCAGAGGAACTCAGTCATTTCAGTTATTTGGGACTTACAGGCTTAAACTCAGACAAATTCAGGATTTCCCTCTTTCCTTCCATTCCCTGGAGTTGATATGGCAAGGTGGCAGTGTCCTCAGATAGGCACACTTGCCACGACCTGGGCTTTGTCATCAGCACCCGTGGTGCTTGGCTAGTAGGACCAAGCTGGGCTATCACTTGGTCCTGTCTGTCTTTCACTGCATGTGGCTTTCTCGTTTCCACTGCCCTCAGAATGGCATAGAGGTTGATATGAGGGGTTTTCTGTCCTCCCAGAACTCCAGATATAAATTGGAAGATGAGAAGGGTGGTAAGGAAAGGGGCACAGGGCCCGTTATTAGTGTCTGAAGTCTTTCCTTTTCTTTCCATGGCTTTCTCTCCACTAAGCTGGGAGAACATTGTAACTTAGTGGTAGGGTGGAGCGTGTGTGTGCTGATTTGCATTCTTCCTAGTCTTTCCTGTATTGTTCTTGAAACAAGGCTAAAAGTGAGGAAATTTTGCTGTCATTTTTTTCTGAGTTTTGTTGTTGTTGTTGTTGTTGTTGTTATACTTCTCATTTTCAGAAGTCTTCAAATGTTTTCACCTAGATCTTGGACTTAGGGGATTGAAGGGGAAAAACACATCACAGTATTTTACTCACTGTTCCACCTGGAATATAGTTTCACAAGCTGGCTAACTAAGCACTGCCACTGTTTCCCCCATCGTCCAGAAGAAGAAACAAACTCAGAAGTTGAGTAACTTGCTTACAGTCATCTAGGGAGAAAGGAGTGACTTAAAACCAGGTATGTGAGGCTTCAAATACATGCTTCACAACCTCTTTCTATGTAATGAGCCACCTGAGACAACAGCATCACTTCCCCACTGACTGTAGGCATTGCCAGCCTCCTAATCTTCATCAGCCATAACCTGCTAGTAGACCCACTCCACTCCCTCATCAGGGATTGGCTGAGCCATCCCTGAAGCTGCACAATGTGCTGATCACTGAACATTGGACGGTCCAACCACCCTGTAGCAGAACAGCATTGATAATAATGTGTCTTCTCTCCTTTTGTCTCGTTCAGTCCCAGATTTCTCCGTTTCCTACTTGACGTGTGCATACTAACCACTCGGAAACACATGATTTATGTATTAGGTTGATGCAAAAGTAATTGTGGTTTTTTCCATTATTTTTAATAGCAAAAACTGCAATTACTTTTATACCAACCCTAATAAATCTCTGTTAATAGTGAATGAATGTGTATCAAAGGGTTAAAGGCCTATAAAGGGACTGGCTCTTAGTCCTCTTGGTCTGTGGTGCAACAGGGCTTCTGAGCTCTGCTTGTCCTAGCGGTCAGATTCATGGCAGGGACTTCTGCAGTGATCTCAGCCATACATGCTGCCTCTTCTATGTGACCCAGAACAGAGCTCAGAGTGAGGTCGTATTGATTTCATGAGAAGCTGGGCCTGCATCTTTTCTTTCACTCTAGGTTTGTTGGCTCCTGCCTGTAAGATGGCTGAAGGCCATTGTTTTTGTGTGGAGGATTAATTAGAATGGATTTCTTTGACTTGGGATGCCAATAAAACCTGTGGTCTCCAGCTATTGATTTATGATGCTGTGCAGGAAGTGTGGGTCCCAGAACAGGCCCCAAGAAAGTAGTGGTGTCAGGCATTTTGATGCTCGGGTGGTTAATTGTGGCAAACTGGAAAAGAATAAGAATGCATTGGAGCTTTGGGGGGTACCATGGGGGAAGGGAGATTGGTACAAGGGCCACCATGATTCAGTGAATGAAAAGAGAATCTCATTTCCTGTGAATGATGTGACTGAGAGATTGAAAGGGACATTTGTGAACTTTGGAGACCAAGATGATTGTGAGCAAATTAATAGCTAGATATCTGAGACATTTGTTCTTATGCAGATAATCGAGTTCTGAAGAGAGAGGTCACTGGTCCTTCAACTTCCCCATCGTCTCAGAGTCCAAGTTATGATAAAGTTCTAACTCTTATTTCCCAGATGACCTCTCAGTTTAATTCAATTCAAGAAGCATTTATTAGTACCTACTGTGGTGCTGGGAGGGAAGAGGGTATAAGAAAGCAAAAGACTTGCTCTGTTCTCTTAAGGAGTTTGTCACACATGGGGGTGACATTTTCAAACCTGTGATTAGAATACAAAGTGGACTCTTGGGGGGATGAGGGTGGTGTAGGAGGAGAGATTTAGACTGAGAGTGAATGAGAACTTTTCATGATGGGTGGCATTTGAGCACAGTTTCAAGCACAGTGGCATGTGGCAAGGGGTTCCACACAAAGGAATCATCATCACAAAGAGGGTGTGCTTAGGACTTACTTGGGCCCTTTCCTTGAGTACTACATTAACTGGAGCTTAGGTAGATGTAATAAAAATAAGGTCAAAATGTAAGTGTGGCCAAATCATGGATAAACTGAAGAGCAGACTAGGGAGTTGAGGATTTGATTCTGTAAGTAGCAGGGAGCTATTGAAAGTCTTTGAGGAGGAGAGGGCCATGATTGATCAGACAGCCATTCAGGAAGCATGGTCCTGCAACCTGTGCCAATGGGATCAAAGCAGCAATGGAGGGGCAAAAGATGCCACTGAAGAGGTTACCACCACAGTCAGGAGAGAAGAAGATAGATACGTTAGGGGAGGTAGGGCAGGAAGGAGACCAAGGATGTGGACTCCCAATCCTCAGTTTTCTCATCAGTAACATGGGAGATCTATTTTTGTTTCTAGGGTTTGAAGACTGGAGGACTTAGGGGATGAAAGGAAAGGATGCATCATAAATTTTTATTAGGTTTGCAGCCTGAGCATCATCTTTCTTAATCTCTTTTTTTCTTATGATGCCTTTTTTTTTTTTTTTAACCTGGGAAGTTGGTGGCTATTAATAGAGTATATCTGGGACCTTTTTTTTTTTTTTTGAGTGGCCAGTGTGCAGGCACAAGATTAACAAGGTACTGTCTTCCTGCCTAAATACTTGGCTTAGGAGTTGTAGGGAAGCCAGGCGGTGTGAGAGCAAGAGGAGGCCATGTGGACAGAGCACCAGGAGGCTCTGCCTCAGACTACTGGCTAGTGATAAACAAGTCCTCCTCCTTCCTGACCCTCTGTCCCCAATTTGTCATTTAGTGATAACTTCCTGGCCTCAGGAGTCTTCTGTAAGGATGAAAAGAGATTGTGCTGTCTTTTTAAAAGGTAAAATACTAAAACTGCAATTAGTTATTATAGCCCTTTTGGGAAGCAGCATGATGGAGCCAGTGAAGAGCACTGGCTCTGGAGTCCGGCAGCCTGGGTCTCCATTATTTACCAGCTGTGTGATGATAGGTAACGTAAATTCTCTGTGCTTCAATTTTCTCCTCAGTTAACACGAATGTAGTAATAGTCATCTGTTAGGTATGATGTGAGGAGGACTCACACAGTGCCTGGCATGCTTGTTGCTGGATAAATGTTTGCAATGACGAGAGTGATGCTGCCACTGCACTGCCAATGATGGGCTCTCTGAATACTAGTGTGCCTTTGATACCCATAAACCCAGCAAAACTATGCTGCTCCCGTCTTTCCTTCCAGCTACCTGCCTCAATTGCTATTCAAGGTGGGCATCTCATTGCATCACAGAACATCATAGCAGTTAAGCAAGGAGGTGTCTCTAGTCTAATACTTTATCTATTATTTCAACTACTGATGAGAAGGAATCTTACCTCCTGGTTGCAGGGAATGCTCTACCTCTATAGACAGCCAAGTCCATGTATAGATAGCTTTGAAGGTTAAAGTGCAAATCTAGTTACTGATCTCTCCCTTTTTTGTTTGTGTGTATTTGCATGTATGTGTAAAACACACCCAAAAGAATGACTTCCAGATACTCTTACTAATTCAAGAAGTGAGTCCTTAATAAAACATTGACTGTTGAAAAGGGAACAGTGGTAGAAAAAATAGTAAGATACATACTCAAGATTTGGAAACGTAGAGAAAGAAGTAAAATCAATTGAGAACAACCACCACATCTATAATGAGCTTCCCCCTCCCCGCCAGCTCACCCTTACCTAAGGGGACTTACAAATGTAATGAGAAGAAATGGACTTTTTGCTGTAGGCAGGATTTGGATTAGACATTCAAGAGCTTCCTGCCTGGGAAGTGATCAGGGGATGTCCAGGCTTCTCTGGATTGTTCACATGTCTTCCCTGGATGTGCCAGGAGGTGCTTTCATACCAGGAACTTACTAATTGCAAGAAGGAGAGGAAGGAGAAGGAGAGGAGAGTCTATTAAAATCCACTCTGTTAGAAAGTTCAATAGTGAGGCCAGCATTCAGAATGACTCATGCCCTGTCTGACTTCTTGACAGCTAGAGGTGCTT